GCGCCCAGGCCGATCAGAGCCACAGATGTGGCCCCGTGGGGACGAAGTCTCCCTAGCGGCCTTCCTGGCCTTGGGGCAGGGCTCCGAGCCCGCCAGGGCGTCTTCCGCGGGGAACAAGGGCCGGGCCAGGCTTCGTGTACGGAGGAGAGCGGAGGAGGACACGCGGGCGGGAAGGGTGCTGAACCCAGGGGCAGAGTGACAGGTCACCCGGAAGGGGCGAAGAGGGTCCAGGGCCGGCTGTGGCTGGGTGACACGTAGGGCGCGCCCAGAAGAACGGGGGAAAAGGCCCTCGAAAGCCAAAATAGAATTCCCACGCTGGACACAGAATGAGCACATGCTGCTGTTTCATTTAAGTCATTAACAAGAAGGCAGGTGTGGCGATCCTGGCACGCCTGCAATCCTAGCACTCGGGGCTGAGGCAGGAGGATCGCCACAAGTTTGAGGTCTGCCTGGGTTTCGTAGTGAGACCCTGTTTCCAAAATTTAAAAAAAATTACTAAGAGTAGGATGGTGGAGGAGGGGGCATGGGGAGTGTATGGAAATAGTGACAAGTAAAGGATGCTTAGTTCCCAGGTGGGTTCACGTTCCACAGGGAATGAACTGGCCCTGGCAGCACTGGGGTTTCCAAGTTCGCTTACTAGACGGAGGTCAAGTAGCATCTGTTTTCTGTCCTGTGTGCGGAAGGCGACCCCTCACCGGTAGGCAGCGTGAGACACGGCCACCCCCTTCCGGAGTCGTGACCGCTAGGGGAGCCCCACATCATGTGAGTGGGCTCAGCTCCCACCCACTAACAGCTGCTCTGTCTCCCTCCCGCCCCTCCTGAGCCAGCTGGGACATCGGGGAATGGTCCGAGTGCAGCAAGACCTGCGGGCTGGGCATGCAGCACCGCCAGGTTCTGTGCCGCCAGGTGTACGCCGACCGCAGCCTCACGGTGCAGCCCTACCGCTGCCAGCACCTGGAGAAGCCGGAGACCACCAGCACGTGCCAGCTCAAGATCTGCAGCGAGTGGCAGATCCGCACCGACTGGACCTCGGTACGCACCCTCTCCCTCTTCCGCCCTGGCACCAGGGCCAGATAGGGACCCTCAGCCCGGCCACCCGCCAGCTGTGTTTGAAGATCTCTGCTCACCCCGAGAGCTGGACAGGGCACGGGCCAGTGCTGCTCACCTGGACCGCCTTGGAGGGGCCCATGAAGCCGGTGCCTGCTGACCTCATCTGTCCCATGCGCCACAGGGAAGTAAAGATTGGCAACCTGGAGCCGGCATGGTGGCACAGGCCTGTAATCCCAGCGCTCTGGAGGCTGAGGCAGGAGGATCATCTTGAGTTCAAGGCCAGCCTGGGCTACATAGTGAGACCCTGTCCCAAAACAAAAACTACAAATAAAAAAACAGAGCCAACTCCTTCCAATTTTGCTCTCCTATTTTACTGGTTGGGAAACCAAGTCCCCGAGGAATGAAGTAGGCAGGCGGCCTCACCCCGTCCAGGGCCAGTGACACAGAACGAGGCCCCTGCACTGACGTGGGCTCGCTGTGTTGCAGTGCTCCGTGCCCTGCGGCGTGGGACAGAGGACCCGAGATGTGAAGTGCGTGAGCAACCTGGGGGACGTGGTGGCCGACGAGGACTGCAACATGCAGCTCCGGCCCGGCGACATTGAGAACTGCGACATGGGGCCCTGCGCCAAGAGCTGGTTCCTCACCGAGTGGAGCGAGAGGGTGCGTGCCGGGCGCGGGGGCCTCGTGTCACGGGTCCCGAGCAGGGCACCGGCTGGTACCCCAGGGCTGATGGGCGACCTGGAGGAAAGGCCCGAGGTCCGCTGCTGCGGGCTGTGTCCTCCCTCAGCGCTGAGGACTGGAGACGGAGGAGTGGGTGTGAAAACCCCAAGTCTGCTTAGCGCTCCGTGTCTTTACTGAACGGCGGAGCAGGAAATGTGCTGAGTGTGGCATCACACCTTCCCGTGCCCTGGGTGTCCCGCATAGAGTGGGCATTCGGCCGATGGCAGGCACCTTCTCAGCTTTTTAATAACTACAAATGTTTAAACCCTGTGCCCCTCCCAGAGGCCTGGCCTCCCCAGACGGTGACTTCAGGACCAATAGTGAGTGCATAGTGAGACCCTGTCCCAAAAACTCAAGGTGTGGCGGTGCACGCCCATAATCCCAGCACTCGGGAGGCTGAGGCAGGAGCATCGCTGTGAGTTGAAGGCCAGCCTGAACTATGTAGCAAGACCCTGTCTCTCACACACACAAAAAGAACAAAGAAAAAAAAAGCAAGCAAAAGGGCCCATAAGGGACACCACTGGGATGGAGTGGGCTGTGCGTGTGAAGAGGTGACAGGGAGAGGTGTCACACCCTCCGGGGACCCCCAGCGCACACATCTGACCCCTAATGTGCCCTCCTCCCATCCTGCAGTGCTCGGCGGAGTGTGGGGCTGGTGTACGCACGCGCTCTGTGGTATGCATGACCAACCACGTGAGCAGCCTGCCCCTGGAGGGCTGCGGGAACAACCGGCCGGCCGAGGCCACCCCGTGCGACAACGGGCCCTGCACGGGCAAGGTGGAGTGGTTCTCTGGGAGCTGGAGCCAGGTGAGTGGCCAGGACTGGTGTGTGGGTCTGTCCCCAGCGAGAGGTTGCAGCACGGCAGAGCGCTGGGGGACAGGACTTTGTGGCAGGCGTCCCAGCTTTGAATCCAGCTGTGGCACTGCTACCTGTGACCCTGGAGAGGGTGCTGCCTATGCTGTCGGTGTCCCATTAGGTCAGTGGCCCTGACTGAACACTTAACTAGGTGCTCACTTAAGCACTGGGGCTATACCCAACATCTCAGCCGTTGGGAGCTTCTGGTCTGGTGAGGTTTCTGTGTCCCTAAGATGCTGGCAATGATGGCTCCGTGTGAAGTCGTGAAATAAAGTCCCTAAGGTGGCCAGGTGCCCAACAGGAAACACAGGAAATCTTAGCAGCTGCGGGAGTGGATACCATCACCCTGAACGCCTCCGTGTCAGGAATTGAAATGGCAAAAGTCGTAGTTTCGCACACTCTAAAGAACAGGTGATAGCACATACTTAATAAAATAACAAACTGGCGAGTTAGAGTCTTCCTCCCTGTCCCAGTACTGAACATGAGTCCTTAGGAAAATGGGGACAGCTGTTCTCCACCTGCGTCCTTGCAATCCCCTCCCACACTCAAGCTCTCGGGCTGCTTGGTGTTCGGCTCGCAGCGGTGCCTGCCTCTCTAGGGACCTTTCAGCTGATGCTCATGATGTGCACATTTGTGGGGCCTCTGGCTCCATGAGTTGTACTTAAGTAACTTTAAAGACAGACCTTTAAAAATCAGCTGCCTTGTCCTTATAAATTCCTACAAGCTCTTTGGAAGGCAGTTTGACATAAATAGGCCAGACGTACAAAACTGTTCCTTTGTCATCACTCTTCTACGGGGTTCTTCTCAGGAAATAATCACAAAAGGCAAAAGGATTTTTCGGCTGGGTGTGGTAGTACACAGCTGTAATCCCACACTAAGGAGGCTGAGGTAGGAGGGTTGCAGTGAGTTTGAGGCCAGCCCCGGCTGCACAGTGAGTTCAAGGCCAGTTTGAACTACATAGCTATGAATTGCATAGTGAGACTGTGTCTCAAAACAAAAACAAACAAACAAAAAAACAGAAAAAGTATTAAAAGCAAAGCAACCATGAACAAAAACATTTTATAAAGTAATATATACTAAACAGGGTAATCTGTGCGCAAGCACTTACTGTATCCTATTTTTATGGGCTAAAAGATGTGGCCCCAAACTGTGGCACTGCCTGCGCAGCCTCTGTGGGCACCACACATGTGGGTTTCAGCACCTTTCTAGGGAAAAGCAGTGCACACCATGGACAAAATTCCTGCTGGGAAGGGAGGGTTGGATGGGGGACACTGTCCCAAGTCTGGGGTGCTTTTCTCCATTCATGTGTCTGAAGAATGTGAATTTAGCCTTTATCCGCAGGTGAACAGCTGTGAGAGGCTAGCACCCTAACTGAACCCGAACTCTCCACCCTTTAAGAGACCAGTGGATAGAACCAGAACCTCAGCTCACTGTTGTAGGAGGTGTTGGATCCACTGGGTAGAAACAACCGCGGTCACTGGCTGCCTGTGGCTGTCGGGAGTTGAACGGGAGATGTTTGTTCCACAGAAGGCAGCATGTTGTTAGAGACCTGCGTCCTCATGATTTGACAGAGGAGGGCACGGGTTCTCCGTGCTGCAGGAACCCGAGACCCACATGCAGCTGCTCCAGCGGAAACACTTTCAGGCCCCTGGGGTTCTCCTCACCGAGGGCAGGCGGAACTGATGTGTGCCCCCTTTTTCTCTGCTGCTTTCTCCAGTGCTCCATCGAGTGTGGGAGTGGGACGCAGCAGCGAGAGGTGATTTGTGTGAGGAAGAAGGCAGACACCTTTGAGGTGCTGGACCCGTACGAGTGCACCTTCCTGGAGCGACCCCCCGGCCAGCAGTCCTGCCATCTCAAGCCTTGCGGGGCCAAGTGGTTTAGCACGGAATGGAGCACGGTGAGTCTCGGGCTCTTGGTGGAGTTGCCTTACCACGACTTCTCTGCTGACCTTCCTGAAACGCCTCTGGCTGGATTCGCATAGTGACCTACTCAGGCGTCACTGCCAGAGCAACCCTACTGAGCAGGGAAAAACTGAGGCTGGGATGACGTTGGCTTCTAAACTGCAGAGGTCACGAGACGGTGACTCCCAAGCTTCTCTGAGCGTCTTGTCTGAAAAGACCAACTGTAGGCCCATCCTGGCCGAGAAACTTGCATTTTAGCAAGCAGCATGCAGGTGTCCCGGGCCTGCATTTTGAGAAATATTGCTGCAGAGAGGTGAAGGTGGAAGGGATTTGAGGATGCTGTTAAAAACGCCACACTAGCCGATAAACTTAGAGATGAACTCTCATCTCAAAAATACTTCCTAGTTTTGACTGCCAAAGAAGCCTAGAAACAGGGACAAACCCAGTTAGTAGCAAAGGGCACTCTTGTCATCCAGGATGTGGCTTTGAGAATCCATTTGCCACTTCCAGGAACTGGGGATCCTGAGAGGGATGGCAGATTCCAGATCTGGGGAATCTCTGCACACATGGCCGTGAGGAAGTTCTGAAGGACAGCGCGTCCAAAGATTCGGGAGGCGACTCTGAGTCTCCTGCTAGCCACTGATGAGACAGCCTGAGCACCAGTACAATTGATAATCACAGTAGACTGAGTGAGACACAAACCACTTCCATTTGTAATAATTAAAACTAATAGGCACCATTACAGTGTGTTAGAGAACCAACTCATTCCTAAGAAGTAGAATGCAAAGGAAAGAAGCAAGCATTTACTCAGTCTTTTTCTAATTTAAAAAAAAAAAAGTTGTACCACTGGATAACCAAAGAGTAAATATAGGGGTGGGAGAAATTGGAAGAAATGAAAAAAGAAATGAAGAAGTGAAAGAGCTAGAAAAATCACCATCTTTCAGCTCCAGGTGAACTAATGGATCCCATGCTGCATGTCAGTAGCAGCTGATGTCCCCACGATAGGGACAAGCACACAGTCCTGTGAGTCACGCCTGCCCCTGTGAAAGCCTCTTCTAGAGCCAACTTCCAGTTAACAGAAGAAATGCAGTGAGACCCTGGTTCACAATCTTCCTTCGTTCCTTGATTCTGGAGAAGATAGCTGAGTTCCTGTGGGGAAGATGGTCACGGTCGTGTTTATTATCCAAGGCGGGGTTCATGATCAGAAGCAAAATTTTTGCCAGATGCTTCTGTTTGTGAACCAAATTATTTGCAGACAGAAGTGTTCATGCACCAAGGTGTTACTGTGCAGAGGAAAGAGGCACACGTTAAAATACACTGTGAGGTTGCTGTCAGCACAATACAGACTCTAGGAAGCTCTGCAGGACCCATGGCTCTGTCTTTCTGATTAAATAAAAATAACAGCAGCAGTTACGATTTTAACCATAGTTAGGGTAAGAGGCCGTACAGAGGGAAAGGAAAAGATGGAGGAAATGTGTGGATTAAACGAGGCAGAAAAGACAATCGATTGCAATGTGCAGACCTGATACGGCTCCTGATTTCGGGGGGGGATTCCGATTTTTAAACAACAAAAAAATATCATTTTGAAAATCTGTGAGTTTCAAGAGAAAAGTGGAAGTAGGCACACTAAATATCTACCTAAAGAAAATAAACCGTCATTAATTTTTAGGTATAACAATGATATTGTTGCGACTTTTAAGGGTCCTCGTCTTGTAGAGGTACAAACTAAAATTTATGGAAGGGCGGTTATGGTTTTTACATCTGCTTCAAAACAGAATGAGGAGTAGAGTGGGTAGTGGGTGAGGGGCACAGTTAGCATGGGTTGCTAGTTGTTGTACCAGCGGAAATGTAATCATCTCCGAAGACTTCCTCACCCGCTTCCTCTGTTCAAAGGACGTGATTTTTTGGAGACATTGGGTATTTCCCAGCATTCTCGTTGTTGGTGTAAAGAGCTGATGGGCTGCTGGGTCACCTGACTTCCCCCTTTGTTGCTACACAGTGCTCCAAGAGCTGCCAGGGCGGCTTCCGGGTCCGGGAAGTGCGGTGTCTGGCAGATGACATGACCCTAAGTAATCTCTGTGACCCTCAGTTGAAACCAGAAGAGAGAGAATCCTGCAACCCTCAGGACTGCGTCCCTGAAATTGGTGAGTAGAGACTCCTGACTTGGAGAAAAGGTCTGGCTTTTTAAAGCAGTGTCAAGTTCTCTGCTGTAAAAATGCCAGCTCTCTCTGGGTCTCGCTGTGACCTTATACACAGTCAGTATTCAGAAGGTCAAAGCAGTTTGGAAATTCTAAGTGATATAGCTTAAGATGAGTACTCACAACACATGGCTGTCCAAGCTGCCTACCAAATAACAGACTTCAGGAAAATTGATTAAAACGATAATGCATACAAAGATTTGGCTCTGTCATCATCGCTAAGGTCAAAACAGTAAAACGTGGGGCTGGGAATGTAGCTCAGTGGTAGAGCAGTTGCCTACTATGTTTAAGGCCCTGATTCAGTCCCCAGCTCCACAAAAAAAGTAGTAAAATTCCACCTTAATTGTCTGTGTGAGGGGGCACTGAGATGTCTGCAGCTGGATGGTTGAGGAGAGAGGAAGGGAGAGGCAGGAACAGGTAGAAGCAGTGATGGTTGAAGTAGGTGTCCTCAGTGCATAGCGCAGACCCAGGGTCCAGAGGACGCAGTGACTTGACTCAAGGAGGGGTAGTGACAGCGGAGGGCTGGGCTGCATGAGGGATGGAGTCCTGCAGGGAACAGCCGTGCTGATTCAGAGGATCCCGCCTACCATCTTGAAATAGGACCCAGTTTCCTGGAGGGTGGCACTGGTGAGAGCTGGGGGTGAGCCACAAATGGGGGACACATGAACTGGACAAAGAGGACCCCTACTGTGATGGTGAGGACACAGTGCAGTAGTAGTGGATGCCTAAGTTACCCAAATCTACCCAGACTGTTCTACCAGGCTGGGCCAGGACTCTTCTCACCTCCCCAGCAGTAGCACAGGAAGCACAGATGTCACAGTAGACTTCTGGGCAGTGGATTCCTCCTGAGGTTTCAGTTCACCGACCCAATGTCCTTTCTATCCCGGGGAAGTTGTGCTGCTTACAGAACAGATGCTCTGTCCAATGGATGCTTTCTGTGGGCCAGTGATGGCCAACAGGTGAAAGTTATGAGGACGACTATTCCCAGAAGGAGCCCAAAAACATGCATTCCATAGTGTACTAGTTGGCTTTCCATCATTGTGACCAAATAGCTGGGAAGAACAGCTTAAAGGAGGAAAGGTTTACAGTAGTACCTCAGTTCATGATTGCTTTTGTTTGTGAACAGTTTGGTTCACAAACAGAAGCATTTGGCAGAACTTCGTTTCTGTTTGTGAACTCTGCATCGGGTGACAAACACAACCACAGCTCTCTTTCCCCCACGAACACAAGTGTGGTCATCTCTTTCAGAATCACAGAGTGAGTTAAAGTTGTGAACTGAGATACCACTGTATTTGGGCTCAGAATTTCAGAGGTTTTCATTTAGTTGCTGTGGGTCTGGGGTGAGGTAGAACATCACAGTGGGACATCACAGCAGGAGATAGTGGCGGAACAGCACCGTGGAACATCGTGGCAGAGGAAAATTGCTCACCACATGGCAGCCAGGAAGTGGAATAAGAAAGAAAGGGTCAGAGCCAGACAGGAAGGAGCTAAGGACAATACAGCTCCCAAGCTCATATCCCTGCCATTTATTTCCTTCAGCTAGGCCCCATCTCCAGTTTCTGTCCACCTCCCAATAATGCCATGAAATCATGCTGTCATCCATGGATTAATCTGTGGACAAAGGTAGAGCCCTGGTGATCCTATCACTGCTCTAGACTCCGCCTCTGAGCATTGCTGCAACCTGTGAGTCTTTTGGGAGACACCTTATATTTACACCATGATGTACAGGAAGAAAATTAACAAGCATCGTCTAAGACTGGCAATAGAAAAATAAAAAAAAGTAAAGATAAGATAACCTTGCTATGGAACATACAAGGAAACATGAGTGGATAGGAAGTAACACTTCCTGGCATACAGATTCAATATTTTAAAGATAGCAAAAGAATTGCCTGAGCAGAGCTTGCCTTGTGTTTTGGTCAACTCTTTGTTACTATAGCAGAATACCTGAGGCAAGCTAACTTTGTCAATAAAAAAAGGTTTACTTAGCTCACAGGCTTTGGGGATTAAATGCCTGAGTGCATCAGGGGACAAACCATGTTTAATTCACAGCTCTTTCCCATGTAATCACGCATATGATGAAGCTGCAAAAACAAAAACTATGTTACTGACACAGACAGGGACAGGCATACTAGCGTTACATAGAGAATTCTGAAACGGACTTCTTTACACAAGAGAAATTAACAGTGATAAAGGTTGAACATTAAGTGAGGATAGCTTCCACTGCATTGAGACAGTTAAAGATCTGTTAAAAAATAAAAACTTAGCTCTTACATTATACCACATGCAAATAAATACAAATGCCTAATGGAGTAAAGATACTAACAGAAAAACACACTGTAAAAAGGCAAGGAAAAGGCATACATTTCTTCGGCTTGGTTAAAGCCTTCATAAGTGAGACTGTAAACCCAAAGGCTTCATGGTCAGCGTGAGAACAGAATAAATTAAAAATGATTCTCCTGTTAAGTCATCATAACCCAAGTTGGAAGGGAGAGAAGGAGAGGGAGAGGAGGGGAAGAGGAAAAATTGTGAGAATTATTTGAAACGCATCAAAGGAGGATAACTTGTGTTATAATGGATCTCAAAGACAGCAACCAACCAGGAGGATTAGGAATAACACTGATAGAATCACCTTGCGCTCCTTGCTTTGGCAGCTGCACGGGTGAAACTTCAATTTGAATTTGGATCATAAGTTGTTACATTACTTTTCAAGATCGTAGTATAATGAAACATTGAAAAGAAACATTGTATATATACAGTTACCTGTATTCAAGAAGGCTGAAATTGCCAGATCCCTGGAGTTGATTATATAAGTTTCAGAGCTCAGTGTGATTGGCAGAACCAGTTCACATGTTCTGAAGTCCTGTTACTCAACTACCACACGTCTGTCAAAGTTTCTTACTAATATGGTATGATTTTTTTTTAACGTCTCTGATTAGCTTGTCTATGATATCTTTGAAAGGATGGAAAACTGTTGAGCTTCCAATTATATGAAATCCAATTAAGCAAAAAAGGGAAACAAGATCAACCAAAGAGGATGTGTAAATAAAACTGATCTTCTTTGATAGGCCTCACAATTAGACTGTTAACAGTAAAGCTACTAAAGGCATCCAGGCCATGAGCCCAAGTTATAAACCATGAGCACAAACCTCTCAGGGGCTTGCTGGCCGACTCTGAAAGTAAAGAAAGTCAGGTGTACATCTTGGTTTCAGTGCTGAAGAAGAAAGTAGTATATGAGTACAGTGTTTTTGAAATATGCAAACATTGTTATGATCTTTCATTTTATCCCCAAAAGCAATTATCAAATCATCTTACAATTGAAAACATTTTTGAATCAAATAAATGTCATGAAAGTAGACAAAGCATTAAATTCCTAATATATACAGAGCTCACTCAAATTCAATTTTTAAAAAGGCAAGTGAATAAAAAATGTAAAAATAAGCAGCCTGCTTTTGTAAAACATGAACCTTAAGAACTCTACCATAAGAGGCTGAAAAATACTGAAGCAGCTAGTGTCAGAAATGCAAATTTTAAAAAGCATGGGAGTACATATTTTTCTACAAAATCAGCAAATTCTTTAAAAAGTAGATAATATTGATCATTAGCAAAGATGTAGGGGAAAGGTCAAGCTCTGATTTGTGCCCTGGTATGATCTTTTTGGAAAGAATTTTGTCATTGTTGATTGAGGTCTTATTATCTTTGACTTCTAGGTATTTATACTAAAGATGTGCTCTTGAAAATCTACAAATAGCCGGGGATTTAGCTCAGTGTTTCCATCACCTGCCTCGCAACCGCAAGGTCCCAAGTTCAATCCCCAGTACAAAACAAAACAAAAAAAAAAAGAAAATATACAAATAGGAGCCAGGGCGTTAGCTCAGTGATGCCACTGCCTGCCTCACAAGTGCAAGGTCCCAAGTTCAATCCCTGGTACCAAAAAAAAAAGAAAGAAAATATACAAATATACATAAAGAACGGATCTCAATGGGCCTGGGAGGTAGCTCAGCAGCACAGCGCCTGCCTGGTAAGCAGAAGTCTGAGTTTGATACCCAGTACCACAAAAAAGAAAGAAAGAAAAAAGAGGTCAGGGATTTAGCTCAGTGGTCCTGCTGCCTGCCTCGCAAGTGCAAGGACCCGAGTTCGATCCCCAGTACCAAAAATAAAAATTAATAATAATAATAAAAGAAGAAGAAGAAGACTCAATAAATGCTATAGAATTAATAATAAATAAGGGCTGGGGTGTGGCTCAGTGGTCAGCCACACACTTAGAATGCAAGAGGCCCTGGATGGACCCTTAGCCCTAGTAAGTCAATTTTATAATTTCTTCTAACTCACAGAAACTGAAAGCAAAGACATTTCAGTCAACAGAAGAAAATGACTAATTATTTTATACCACCTAGGACAGGACACACTGTTGCCCTGAAAGAGAGTGTTATGATATCTATGAGTAATATGATATTTATGAGTAATATAAAAAAAGCAACTGGCTGAGAAGTATACCATCAATTCTCTCCCAGGTTAATCTGTCAACTCAAGCAGTGTTTATCAAAATACAGATGGGGCTTTTCATAGAAAAGTCTCACAAACTAGGTCTTAAATTTATATAGAAAAGCAAGAACTAGCAGGGCGTGGTGGTGCACGCCTGTCATCCTAGCACTCAGGAGGCTGAGTCAGGAGTTTGAGGCCAGCCTGACCTACAAAGTGAATTCAAGGCCAGCCTGAACTAGATAGTGAGACTCGGTTTCAAGAAACCAATGAATGAGTGAGTGAATAAACTCTGTAAGCTGTTGGCACACACACCTCACATAGGTGATAAACACCAGGGCCGGTGTGAAAAGCTGCACTCTTCCCACTGGTGCTGGCCTGCTCTGGGCTCGAGGAGTCTCTTGCTCTCTTCCCTGCAGATGAAAAGTGCCAGGACAAGTACTACAACTGCAACGTGGTGGTACAGGCACGCCTGTGTGTCTACAGCTACTACGAGACGGCCTGCTGCGCATCCTGTGCCCGGGGGGCCGCCAGGCACGCTGGCTTCCTGGGGAGCAGATAACCCGCACCCCATCCGGTCCCCTACCCTGCCAGGACTCCCGGCCCAGGGCACTGCCGGCCACTGTCACCACCACCTTCACCTCTGGCCAAGTGTTCCTCCGGTGCCCGGGTGTTAGCCACGGTCGGTCCCTTAAGTGTTGCCATGGACTCTTGACCCCGAGGACCCGCGCCTGTGACCGGTGCCCTCTCGGCCCTGGTGCTGTCCAAGTCAGCAGATGTCCCTGCTGGGCGCTGCCTCGTCCCTAGGCTCCTGGCCTCTCCAAAGTGGGCACCCCTCAGAATTCAGAGGAGGCAGCACCCCATCCGGACCCCCTAAGCCTCACCGACGCAGCACCCCTCTGCGACCTCAGCCGCTGTGCTGCTTTCACTCTCAAAGCCATCGGCCAGCTTCCTGCCTCAGGACACTTCTCTGAGCCTTCTGCAGCAGCTGGTATATTCTCAGATACTAGCTCTGTGATGGCTCAGAGCATCCTGGACGGAGGGCAGCGGATGAGGAGATCTCCTCTTTTTTTACAAAGAAACAGAGTCAACTCAGGACCTGCCACGATGGCAGAGCCGAGTGCCCACCTGGTCACCTGCCCACAGACCTCACCTGTCCCAGTCACCCCCTGCGCCTGCAGGGGCCTGAAGCATGAAGGAGGTGGCTTCCTTTCCAGCCAGGAGGCTGAGAAGTTTCTCACCAGCAAACAGCCCAGGATTCAGCCTCTTCCCCCCGAGGCAAGGTCAGACCTTCTGTCTGATGCTCGCTTCTCTCCCCTCTGCACGGGGACAGGTCTGGCTCCCCTAAATCCATCATCAACAGAACTGTGCTGGGGACAGGACAGCCACAGCGGAAGCCTGCTGTCCTGGTTGCACCCTCAGTGATACGTTCCTCTTGCTGGGGGCCTTCACGTGGCTCTCACTGTCTTCCGCCTTCTCTCCCGGGCTCCACACCATGCGTGTCCTGGTGCAAAGTCCAGCCTGCAGGCCCCCGACAAAAGCTCCAGGTTGTATTAGAAAGAGTCTCACTTTGGTCTTTCTCAGTGCTGTATGGGTTTTTCTCTATGCCCTCCAACCCTTCCCCTCACCCGCATGACTCAACCCTACTTCCCCTGGAGCTGACCTCCAAGATCTGCATGAATACAGCTGGCCTGGGAAGAAGAGCCCTGAACCCCGCCTGCTTCCCAGCTCCCAACTCAGTTCACCCAGCTAGGGAACCGCACAGGTCTCCAGCCTGAAGCGGGGTGCTGTGCACCTTGAAAAGTGAAACCAATTAGAAAACAATTTTAAGGGTTTTTTCTTTTATCCATCAAGACTATCGGGCCAAACACCTGCAGAGCTGCAAATGTCTTCCACTCTCAATCCTGGGCATGTTTCCCTTTCAAGCCTCCGCTTGCCCCTGAGTGTGTTGACCAGAAACTGCCAGGTGGATGAGGATTTGCAGCTCTGGGCCCCATCAGGCTCCCTCCCTCGCATTCCACCAGGCTTGGGCTTTCAGGAGCTCTGGGTGGCGCTCTGGGGATGTCCTGCCGGCTCCTGTGCTCGGGAGCCCAGGTGAATTTCCCAGGGAAGGAAACCCTCCTTGTGTGACTGGCAGGTCCGACTGCCACGCATCCAGGCACGAGGAGACAGAGACACCCAGGGAACGTGCGTTTCCGTCCTGTGCCTGCTCCTTCCTCCGGCCTGGCCTGCTTCTTGTTTTTCCTCACACTGTGCTTTCAGGCCCTGCTGGGTGAGCAGTCCATGCAAGCTGCTTGGAGAGCTTGTCCCCACCCATGGGGGCCGCCAGGACCCGTGGGTGTAGAGGGGAGGCTGGTTTAACATAAGTAAAGGAAGAGTTCTAGCAATCAAAGCCACCCAAGAGGGGTGCAGGCCACCACAGCAAGAGAGCGCTCTGTCCCTAAAGAGACTTCGCTGACTTGTGGGACGGGACCCACCCGGGGACCCACCCCAGTCCTTCCAGCTCAGGAACTTGTGCCTGGATCAGCGCTGGCTTTGTCTCTTTGGCATGTAACAGTGTCCTGTGGCCCCACACGTCACCTAACCATTTTTCTGAGAGGACAGTGATCCTCCTGGTTCCTGGCCACCAGGACTTGGGTGTTTCCAGCAGTCCCTTTCCACGGACGGAGTCTAAGAAAAGCCCACATTGGGGCACTGTCCCTCGGTCTAGACAGGGCCATCACCTTCCCCACCACCCATTTCACCCCTCTCCTCTCCTCATCTGCCATCTCCTTCTTGGGCCCCTTCCATGCCAGAATGCGGGATGGAAATTTCTTTTTAACCTTGCTTCCTCCTCCACCCCCATGTAATGCATTGCCTCCTTCCCTGCTCTGAATTTTAAAATTAGATAAATTGAAGCTGTTATGTGTTTTCCCTCACAGAACTCAGCAAAACACTTCCAGGCTAGGCAGGGGCCACCTCCTGACTTCTGTCTTTCCCATCCTCGGGGCCACCTGCAGGTCCCCTGGCGGAAAAGGGACAAGAAATACAGGACTCTAGAAAGTGCCTTGCAAACCCACCGCTAGAGGGAGCCAGTTCCCTTCAGTGAAGGTTTGAGGCCTGCCCAGCGGATGGGAAGCCTTAGGACAGAAACTCTCAGATCTGTCCCCATCTGTCCCTCTGCCTTCCTCCTCTGGCTCTGTGCTCTTAGGGGTGTTTTTCTTCATTTCCTTGAGTATGTATCATTCACTCATTCCCAGTGTTCACATTCACTCTTTAAACAGTAGCTTTATGAGAGGACAGAAAATGGGAGACATTAGTTTGACATTTTTTTAGCAGGCCATTTGGCAGCAAGAAAAATCTAGATATTACTATACTAAGCCAGTGTTTTCACTTTTTCCATTAATATCACTCTGGTAGAATTAGGATAACAGTTTTTTTTAAAAAAAACACATAAATAGAAATGATAAGACAACCCAAAGTTAAACCAGGTTGAATAACCTGTATCAGCCCAGTAGGTAGAGACCGACATCTGGGCTTTTCCATCTTTAACGTGGTTTATATGGGGAAATAGATGCTTTACCAGAAACTCTGGATGACATGAAATTGGAGAGCTAATGGCTTAGCTGACAGATATTGGATCTAAACAGATCAAGAAGACTAGATGAAAACTCAGATCTTAATTCACCAGGAAGCAATAAAAAGATCTACCTTTGGATTTTTTTTTTTTTTAACTGCACAAGCAAAACGTTAGGAGATGTATTTCAGGTGGCGAAGTGGGACGGAACCACCCAAAAATAAAACAAGATGTCTGAGTGACCCGAGGGGAACACATGGGCACCACGTTTCCTCTAGGCCCTAACAGCTGTATTTAGGAGACTTGATGGTGTGTTGTGTCCAAGTGGGGATGTCCAGGGTGGAAAGAGCCTCGTTGGGCGGAGTTGTGCTGGAGAATGGCTCGGGCACTGTGAGAACTGTGCTAGGCCGGGAGGGAGAAGCTACAGGGAGCCGGGTTTTTCCTCTTCCAGAAGAACCAAGCTTCGGTATCTGAGGGCTTGTGGCAGGTGGTGACTGGCCCATCCTTGGAAGTGTCACCAAGGCCAGATGACCATGTGTCAGGAGAGGGTCCCAGACATTTGGCTGAGCATCTTGATGTTCAAGATTGTTTCCAGCTCCAGGCTGTGGTGATTATGTTAGTAGAATGGCTTTATGTGAGCTTTAAGTGTGCAGACTGCATGTGTCCCATCCTATTCCTAACTTTTGCCACCCTGTTAGCCATTTCAGGCCCATCAGTGCCTCCATCCCCTATGCTGAGTGTGGCTTTATATCACAGAGAATCACTGGCACCTTGGCCAGAGGGGCCCCATCTGCTCCTGGGTCACAGAGACAAATAGGATGTAGTCAAGAAGGTCCATATTCCAGGAGCTCTTTACTCCTCCTGTCTCTCTCAGCTCTTTGCTTTCCTCTACCTCTGCTGGACCAGTGATTCTCTTGGCCCTGAACCAACCCTAATTCTTGGCGAGACTCCCCTTGTGCTGTGGGACAGTAACCACTAGACGATGGCAACTTCCGGCCAATGTTCTCAGCATCTTCCAGACCATGAGCCCCTGCTCAGTGCAAGCAAACCCCTTCTGTTACCTAAATAAACTCTCACCGGCCTTCCCCCCTTGCTCCCCCATTCAGTTTGACAGAAGGATATACTTTTGTGATAACTTATTATGTTGCTCTTTGTACATACAAGATGTTTATAGGAAATATGTATTCTGAACTCTATCTGCAGAGTAAGTCGCTACACCAAAATAGTTCTATTATTTAGAGTATGTTACTATTAAAGGGACCTATAGGTATTTATTTACATATACCATCCACACTTGTATAAAATCATCTGACCATACTAACCAGATTCCTACTCCACACTGCCTTATCCCAAGTCTATTTTTACCATCGTTTAGTACCGGATGAGTCATGCTCTTTGGGGTTCAAGATCAGATATGAATTACTCTGCTTTCTGACCATTCAGGGGCTTTCACCCCAGCATCGTCCCATCTTTAACACTCTATTTCCTTGTATTCTGTCCACTCCGCATGCCCACACATTCGGGGACACACGGCCTGCCCACATCTTGTCCCTCCTTGTGTCACCTGCTGTTACACTGGCCAGGGTCAGAGCTGCAGATTGAGCAGGGAGAGGCTTGGAGGCCTGTGTCTCCCATGGTCCCTGCTGGGGACTGGGACCCAGGGCAACTAGGCTTTCCTGTGGCTGCGTAGCCAGGAGTAAGAGACCAGGAGCCCCCTCCATACTCCGTCCACCCCAGGCTCCTGCACAGCGTGAAATGGGCTGGAGAGTAGGTGGTGGATTATATGAGTAAACATGGCCTGTTTTCAGTAAAAATGACAACTATTTTTGTGTATGACTAATTTATTTTTATTGTAAAAATACAATAAACTGGTTAAAAGATCCGTTAACGCATCTGTGTTTTCTCTGACTGTATTCATAGTCTATCCACATTATTTTCGACAGCCCCCTCCAGAAAGATCCGGCCATCTCCACACCAGCTGGCTTGTCATGTGGATTTTGGGGCTCTCTGTATGGCTGGGCCAGTTAGGGAAGCTGACATACCCTTGATAAAAAGCACTTCAGCCAGTGGTGCTTGCCTGTAATCCTAACACTTGGGAGGCTGGGCCAGGGGGATTGCTGCAAGTTCAAGGCCCACCTGAACTGTAGAGCAAGACCTTGTCCCCTCCCTGAAAAGAAAAAACAGTTTCTATAACTCTAGATTTGAGGACTTAACCTAACAGTTTATTCTTTCATTCTTGAAACAGAGTGAAATGGCTTCGGGCCTTTATGCTCATGTGTTCTGTGTGATTTAATTTTGCTAACCAGATAACCTGTGTGTTATTGAGGCATTTGTTTGGCCATGCATAAAAGCAAATCTGACTTTCTGGGGTTTAGGAATTTTTCTTTTATAACAAGAAATCTGGAGGGAGACAGTTGTCATTGGTTCAGGACCTCAGGGACTTAATGGCCTACTTCTCTGGATTTTCTTGACCTCTACCTCATGGTTGTGACAGCTTCTACTGCTCCAGCTGTCACACCCATCTTCAGGGAAGAACATGGCAGGACAGTTTGCAGCTGTGTTTCCATTTACCGAGACAAACATTCCCAGAACCCTCTTGTACGTCTGGCCAACTTCTTGTTAGCTCATATGAACCAAAAATGGATTCACTGGCTATTCTTACTTGCAAATGAAGAAAAGGAATTTAGCTACGTTAAGTACAGGTACCCACCCCCTAAGATGAATGCACATATTATGAACTGCAAACGTGCACTAATAAACAATTTTAAAAAGAGCTCGTTTATTCTGGTGGTGCCCACACAGAGCAGCAAGCGTTCTGGGTGCGGAACGTCCAGCTCGCAGGTTCAGGCCATCAGCTCCTGATCACTGCTGAGTCAGTCTCCCAGGTGCTCTGTGTCCCTGTCAGCGTCCGCTACCTCCTCCCGGCCAGGCTCCTCCCCGTCCTGGGCCTGGCGTCTCCTTTCAGACTGGATGCTTTCTGCCTTTCTTTTCCACCCTCTCACGTGGGGCACAATAAAGCCACCTGACCCGCATGGCTTCTGTTACCGGTAAGTCCTCCGCCCTCAACCCGACAGTGGTACCCAGTTTTAGCTTCCAAATGACCTCCCTGCTTATTGCTCCCCAAACCCTTCCGGCAGTCACCTAGAGAATACAGAAAAGCGCGGGCTGGTCAAAGACCGTCTCAGGCTGATTTGCCAAATCATCTCCATAGTTCTGGGGACACAGGAAATCCATTTCACTGCCAAGGCAACATTCTGCGATTCAGCGCGGCAAATCCACCCGTCTTCTGGGTGGTCATGGTGTGGCCGGAGCTCTGACGTCCCCGCTGTACAACGGGAGAAAACACGGCAGGTGTCTGAGGGGACCGAGACCCCACCTGGTATTGGGGCCCTGTTATAAATGCTCCCTTTTGGTGCTTGCGCAGAGGAGACAAAACTGTGCATTAAACACTGGGTGACGCTGCCAGAATTTGTCGCTAAGGCTGTAAATCCTACGCCTGAAGATGCATCAAGGTACTAAAGAAGTGTCTGCGATTTCCAGTTCCAGTGAAGATGC